TTTGCGGTACGTGGGCCTCTCACTGTTGTGGCCTCTCCCGTTGCGGAGCACAGGCTCCGGACGCGCAGGCTCAGCGGCCATGGCTCACGTGCCCAGCCACTCCGTGGCATGTGGGATCTTCCCGGACCGGGGCATGAACCCATGTCCCCTGCATCGGCAGGCAGACTCTCAATCACTGTGCCACCAGGGAAGCCCCATTTTTGAGTTAATTTTTTATGTGTGTTGTAAGATAGTGGCCCGGTTTCATCCTTTTGCACGTGGCTGTCCAGTTTTTCTAATACCATTTATAGACGAGAGGGTCCTTTCCCCATGGTATATTCTTGGCTCCTTTGCCGTAAATTAATTGACCATCTATGCATGGATTTATTTCTGGGTTCCCTATTCTGTTCCATTGATCTATGTGTCTGTTTTTATGCCAGTACCATAATGTTTCAATGACTACTGTTTTGTAATGTAGTTTGAAATCAGGGAATGTGATGCCTCCAGCTTTGTTCTTTTTCTTTTCTTTTTTTTTTTGCAGTACGCGGGCCTCTCACTGCCGTGGCCTCTCCCATTGCGGAGCACAGGCTCCGGACGCGCAGGCTCAGCGGCCATGGCACATGGGCCCAGCCGCTCCGCGGCATGTGGGATCCTCCCGGACCGGGGCACGAACCCGTGTCCCCTGTATTGGTAGGCAAACTCTCAACCACTGGGCCACCAGGTAAGCCCTCCAGCTTTGTTCTTTCTCAAGATTGCTTTGGCCATTCAGGGCCTTTTACGGTTCCATACAAATTTTAGGATTTTTTGGTTCTATTTTTGTGAAATATGCCATTAGAATTTTGACAGGGATTGCACTGACTCTGTATATTGCTTTGGGTAGGATGGACATTTTCACAATATTAATTCTAACAATCCATGAGCACGGAATGACTTTCCACTTATTTGTGTCTTCTTCAGTTTGTTTCATTGACGTCTTGTACTTTTCAACATACAGGTCTTTCACCTCCTTGGTTAAATTTATTCAGAATTTTTGATGCAGTTGTAAATGGGATTGTTTTCTTAATTTCTCTTTCTGATATTTCATTATTAGTGTATAGAAATGCAACAGATTTTTGTGTATTCATTTTGTATCCTGCAACTTTACTAAATTTATTAGTTCTAACAGTTTTTTGATGGAGTCCTTAGAGTTTTCTGTATATAGTATTGTCATCTGCAAATAGTGACAGTTTTAATTCTTCCTTTCCAACTTGGGTTCCTTTTATTTCTTTTTCTTTTCTGATTGCTCTGGCTAGGAATTCCAATGCTGTTGAATGAAAGTGGTGAGAGTTGGGCTTCCCTGGTGGCGCAGTGGCTGGGAGTCCACCTGCCAATGCAGGGGACACAGGTTCGTGCCCCGGTCCGGGAAGATCCCACACACCGCGGAGCGGCTGGGCCCGTGGGCCATGGCCGCTAAGCCTGCGCGTCCGGAGCCTGTGCTCCACAATGGGAGAGGCCACAACAGTTAGAGGCCCGCGTACCGCAAAACAAAACCAAAAAAAGTGGTGAGAGTGGGCATCCTTGTCTTATTCCTGATCTTAAGAGGAGATGCTTTCCACTTTTCACCGTTGAGTGTGATGTTAGCTCGGGGCTTGTCATATATGGCCTTTATTATGTTGAGGTACGTTCCCTCTATACCCACTTTGTCATGAGTTTTTATTATAAATGGACGTTGAATTTTGCCAAATGACTTTTCTGCATTCACTGAAGCGATCATGATTTTCACATTCTTCAATTTGTTAATGTGTTATATCACATTGACTGATGTGTGGTATTGAGCCATCCTTGCATCCCTGGGATAAATCTCACTTGCTCACGGTATATGATGCTTTTAATGTATTGTTGAATTTGGTTTGCTAATATTTTGTTGAGGATTTTTGCATCTGTGGTCATCAGGGATATTGGCCTGTCACTGTCTTTTCTTTTGGCATCTTTATCTGGTTTTGTTATCAGGGTGATGCTGGCCTCGTAAAATGAGTTTGGAAAACTCCCTCTTCTCTCTTCTGGGAGTTTGAGAACGACTCTGGTATTAGTTCTTCTTTGAATGTTTGGTAGAATTCACCAGTGATGCCATCTGGTCCTGGACTTCTGTTTGCTGAAATGTCTTTGATTACTCAAATGATATTTTAATGCAATTCAGAATTTTTAAAAGGACGTTAAGTGTCTGAAAAGAAAATATTTTCTCAAGAGAGTGGCTACTGCTTGATGTGGCCAAATGCTCCTCACACTAGAACCACCCAAGTGGTCAGTGGGGGTTTGAATCACCCTGTGAGTGGGCTTTGCCCTCAGGTCCAACTCCATGCTGCCGTCTCCGCAGGTACGTCCCCGTTGCAGGTGCTCCTGTGCCACCCTCTCCCCCAGGTATGGCCCGTGCCTTTCCCCCCATAATGGAGTGAGAGTCCTCTCAGGATCTGCCTGCTGAGGAAGGCAGTAACCTTCCTACTGGGCTGTCAGGAGAGGAGAGACGCCACCAGGTGGGCAGGAGCAAGGAGGGACGTGGTGGCTTCTAACTCCCTGTGCTCTTGGGCTCTGCCTTCTTTGCTCACCTCTGCGTATCTCCTTGGCTGTGTTATGCTGGAATGCTGCTTCAGCCACATGGACTTTGCTATTGCAAGAAGCTCTTGGAAAGAGAGTAGGCACAGGGCAAAATTTTGAAATGATTTGATTTTAACTCTAAAGAGTAGAGTCGCTTCTGCTGTTTGTGTCTGTGGAATTTTCTCGATGAGACCCAGCCTCTGGGTGGTCAGCAGGTAGGAACCAGCATGGGCATGGCTGGGCCCAGCAGCTGTGGTGAAGAGCCCAGGGATGCTGCGGTGACCCAGGACCTGAAATTTGGGGCGGGGCTGGGCACACAGGTGTCTACTAGTGGAGAATGTCCCTGACAGCCCCTGCCCCACGCTGAGGAATAACCCATTCCTGTGAAGCTGGAGAGGCTGGGAGGCTCGTCGGAGCAATTCTGAGGCACACGGAACAGCCCCAGTGGGACCCACGCCTCCCACTCGCCCCAGTGCATGTAATTCACTTGTTCCTGTGGACCCGCTCAGCCCCAACACTGAATGTGCCACTTGCGGCCACGATGGGTTTCACCTGTACCTGCCCAGCCCGAGACTGGTGGCCCTGAGGATGCCCAAGGTGACGTTGGCTGCAAATGCGGTCGTGGGTATCTGTCAGGGCCCAGGAGCGTTCCTGTGCTTCTCGTGCTGCAGACGGCGTGGCTCCCACACAAAGGCAAACTGTGGGAAAAGGAAACACTCAGCAGGTGAAGAGAACAGAGTGCCAAGGGCCAGGAGGACGTGAATATGCCACACGGCAAACTCGACTGGGCTCCTCCCGGTGAGCCTGGGTGGGCTATCATCTGCACAAACCCACCTGGTCTTCCCAGGGGCCAGACAGTCGCATTGAACAGGGACATGATGGGGACCACGATGGACACTCTGGGACCACCGCCTTCACCTCCCCTCGTCCCCGGTGGTGGACTTATCATTGCACTTCCTCCAGGAATTCAGCAGTGCCTCCTGTTGACCATCCTGGCAAGGAGGGCATGCAGATTCAGGGACTTCCGCTTCTCTTTCCTACCTTAGCAACTCTTGTTCCAGACGGTTCTTTCCAATTATATACTCAGAGACTAGGAGACACCTGCAGGCCCAGCAGACCCTCTGTGCAGTGGCCGTGTCCAGAGACCCGGAGACATCAGCCTGCAGCTCCCTCTCTCATCAGCTGCCACCCGCTAGATCCCAGGAATCCCCTTCTCTCTCCACCAGCCGCTGGCAATCCCACGGGTGAGCACAAATCCTCGATCTGCTGAGGGCCTGCCGCCTCCTTAGGAGCGCCCGAGCCAGTGGCTGGCGTTTGAGCCCCGCTTTCTTGGTTCTCTGCTCCCACTCCGCTCACAAGCCACGGCACTGCACAACCCAGTGGTTCCCAGGCTTTGCCACACGCGGGAGTAGAACGAGGCAGCTGTTCTCACCATGGGGCCCGGGGAGAGAAAGCTCGTTTGCAGGGAGAGATTAAACAGACACGCAGAGATCTGAATTACTGCAAGGTTCCCAGTGTTGGTTTCTAGCCACGTCTGGCTCTCCTCTGAGGTCTGGCCATCACTCTCCATCCTTGCCCTGAGGTTCCACAAGGTAGCCTTAAAACAAATGCCCCCTAACTGTGTAAGCTAGCAGAACTGACCCCTGTCGTTTGCTACCAAAGCCCTGATGTCTAGGGAAGCAGGACAGCTATTTTTGTCGTACGCCAGGCGGGGAGGAGCACTTTTGGCATCAGCCCAGAAAACCCGCTCAGTCATTCGAAAAGGACCTGGTTTCACACGGATCAGGGCAGTTCTGAAGCCAAGCTGCCTGGGTTCACGCTAGCTCCAGGACCACCTGTGTGACCTCGGGCAGGTTGACTTCCCACCCCTCACCTGTAGAGTGAGTGCTGCAGAGAAGGGCTCACACCACAGGCCTGAGACCGTGGGCCCGAGAGGCCTGAGACCGTGGGCCCGAGAGGCCTGAGACCGTGGGCCTGAGAGGCCTGCTGACAGGCCGGCCCTCGGCTGGCATCTGGGACCTGGATTTGGGAGGGTTCCCTCCAACTGGTAAGAGTGGATCACTGCGACCAAATCCTGCCAACAGCTTGGACACCTGCTTTCCCCTGGGAGTTTGGAATTTGGGTCTGTGCCAGGCAGAGGGTGCCTGTGTGACCGGCCCTCCGCAGAAACCCCGGACGCTGTTTCTGAAGAGCGTCTGCATGGCCGTGTGACCCCTGGGAGGGAACTGGAAGCTGCACCTGGTCTCCCCGCGTTGCCCATGTGCCTGTCCCTTTACTAACCTCGCCTTGTATCCTTTCTATATGACGAGTCTCAGCTGTGAGTACAACCATGTGCTGAGTCCTGAGCAAGTGTGGGGTGGCCTTGGGGACCCGGAGCCCAAGGGTAAGAACAGTGCTCAGGGCACAGCATTAGGGTCAGGATGACGTGAGTGACGTACGTAAAGCGTGCAAAGGCCGAATCGTATTAACTTTACAGAAAATGGGTCTAAGTTTGCAGTAAAAATTGAGACAATCTGTTTAAAAATGTAAAGAGTAAGGAATTACACACATAAAAAGCGGCACTGTTGCTTTTAAATTGAGGTGTTTTAATTATGTCATTGCTTATAAACACACACAAGGGTATCAACTGGAAATAAGAAACACTTTTTCCCCTTTGGTGGGAAAGAGCTTCAAAACACCACAAAACCTTGACGGTATCACTACCTTCCTTTCTCGTCTATTAGGCAGTCCTATCCACTACCTGACAACTTCTAACTGTAATTTTAGGAGAGAGAAAAATAATCTGAGGAGAAAAAAGAATTTATTTAGGGAGTGACAAAGAGACAAAAAAATGACTTACAGTAAGGATGAATATTATATTTCACATTCTTAGAAACAATTTTTCCCTAAAGCTATGAGGTTATACTGTTCCGCTGAATAAAATATTGACAGCTTAAAACACGCTTCTGAGAGACTGCGTCCTTATCCGCTGAGAGGGACGGAGAGTCTCCTGAGCCCTTGCTGTCCTGCTCAGAGGGTGGCGGGAGTGGAAGGCCACTGCTGAGAGGTGGCTGTGTGCATGCGTGGCCACAACACAGGGAGCGCTGGCAGAAGGAAAGCATCGGATAACCCAGAACACACAACAGTCTGACGCCGAGCCATTCACCCCCGTCTTACTTTTCCAGTATGGCTCTCTCTACGCTCTTAAACTTTTTCAGTTCGACCATTAGTTCCCAATATCTAAGATACAGCCACATAAGCCTCCCATTCTGGCGCTTGTTGGTGTTCCAGATGTCCCCACAGTACGTGTCGTGCTTGAATATGTCGGTCAGGCCAGCGGCCATCTCTAGGTCAGCAGCAACCGGGTCGGTGGACGCTCGGCCCAGCAGGCTCTTCTCGATCTCCAGCCGCCTGTGGCGAGGGAGAAGCAGACTGCAGTAGACGCTCTGTCTTTCCGTGAGAGCGTCCTCGAAGTCCCTCAGCAGAAGCCTGGCCCGCCGCTGCCACTCCTCCTCCTCGCCCAGGTAGCTCAGGTACGCGCTCCGCAAGGGCTGCCCCTTCTCCTGCAGAGCCCGAGCCCGCTCCTGTTCCAGAAGCTTCTTCTCTTCTACCATCTTGCGCCCCTGCGAGATGAGGGCTTCTCGGTAGCTAGTCGTTCTGTTTTGTTCCTTTTCAAGTTCCAGGGACAACTGTGCCACGGCCCGCCGACTTTCTGAGATCGTGGCGCGGTACTTGGCTTCGAGGTCCCGCTGGAAGGCAGCTGTTCTCTGATGGTATGCTTCCCTCTCTCTTTCTATCTCTTTTCGGGACTCCCTAGACCAAATCCAACCTGACACAAAGAAAGTGGAGGAGGAAAACACACACGATGAAAAGTCAGAGCTCAAGTTCTGTATTTATTTACAGAAAACATAAAGCAGCTAAGGACAGCACTTCAATAAAATCTTAAGTCCCAAGAGGTACAAAAAAGACAACATTTTGAATGAAGCTATACAACTGCAAAGTTCTTATCTTAAAATCAGATAAGGGCTCCCCAAAGACAAGCACAACAAGTCTGCAGAGACCCCTTTCAGCCTCCTCCTAATGTCTGATGGCTGAGAAAAGCCACCGCTGCCTTCCTTCGTTCCCAAGCCCACCACCCTGTGCCTACCCTGGCTACGGTGCCCCAGCATACTATTGGCAAGGGTGAGAAGTGAGAATGGGTGACTGTGCTTTACAGAGTGTTGGCGAGGCTATTAAGAACTGAGGAAAGTTCAAAGCGTGTTCAGCTTCGCCTGGTCATCACTAGTAAACAGCTGAAGCCCAACGTGTTTGCTTATGTTCTCACGGGGGGTCATGTAAATAAGGAGTCGGAAGTTCAGCCTTAAGACGAGGCTCCACCGTAATCTAACAAACAGAAGGGTGCAGGCAACTGGGGTGGGTAGTGCCCCGCTCTGCCCCACAAAGTGAGAAGCCACCCGGCCCCTGGCCTCTGCTGCACGGATTAGTCCACGGACAGAGAAAGGGAGTCTGACGACCACAAAGCCTGCGGCCAGCAGGTGCCTGGGTCCGGATGTCGTCACCAATCCTTCCCCGTCCCGCCAATAAGAGGCCGGTGTGTCCCAATAATAAGATAAACGTCAGCGCGCGGCTTTCACTGCTACAGGACCTCCACCGCGTTCTGCACCGGCGTTCCTGCTCAGTCACTTCATAAATGCTGGGGCAGCTACGCCGAGCCCTCGTTTCTCACAATGGTAACCTGTCCAGCCTGTACGTGCAAAACGCAGCACAGATCCGAGTCCTCTGGAAAACAGAAGGACTGCCCAACAAGTCTAACTGGCAAAGTTACCAAGAGCAGCAGCTTAAAGCGTCACTCATGCCCAGCTCTCCAAACACAGCCAAGGCGGCTCACGCGTTTTTCTCCTACCTCCTCTAACTCCCTACGGTGTCCATCCCACTTCCGGTTCTCTTGCTGCTCTTCCGGTCCCTTCCCATCAACACCCGAGGTGCTGTCCTTGCTTGCTGTGTGGCCTTTCCCCAGGTCCCAGGGAAGCCCATCTAGTCCACAACGTCAGCCGTCACCTCGCGAGGACAGCGTTCCCGCGCATCTGAGAGGCTCTTCACGTGCAGTGCTGCTGCCCCGATTCTACAACCAGGAGACCAAACTCGTCCTCCCGCAACTCAAGCAGCCCCATATCCCATCCCAGCTGACAACTCCAACTCCAACGCACATGCCGTCTTTGTCTCCTCCTTGGGGCTGCCAGGAAAGAAGGGGCCACAGTACGGCTCAACACGCCCTGGAGGCAGAAAAGCTGTGTGTGGAGAAGAGAGGACAGAAGGACTGATTCAGTTTTGCGTGAATGTGGACAAAGTCTGGAAGGCCAGTAGGAGCTGGCAGGAAAGGTCCCTCTGGGCAGAATGAACAGGTACAGGAGAGCTTCCAGGAGCTGCTGTCCAGGGGCACAGGGCTTATGCCAAGGAGACGCTGGAGCAGACGCTGGGAAAGTCAGACTCCGCTCAGGAAGTGGACTGACCTGATCCGACAGCGCCCTGGCTGTGATGAGAAGATGAGGGGGCATGGGCGGAGGGGGCAGACGGGAGGCCAGAAGCAGAGCGCCAGTCCTGCTATAATAACCCAAAATGCAACGCTGCTCACACAGAGCCAGGGAGGCCGATACACACCCAGGCACCCACTGGCCATCAGACCACAGAACACCTCTCATCAGGAAGGCCTCCTGGAAGAGGTGGCACAGGGACGTGGAGACAGGCTGGGTGAGGAGGTGGCCAGGGAGGTACGGAGACCAGAGTGCAGGCTGGTGGACCGGATGTCTGGGCACCCCACTCTGGTCCGTTCGGGGAGTCCCGCCTCATGACTCTGCACAGACACAACTTTTTCGAGCCTCAGTCTCAGAAGGCCTGTAAAAGCGCTGGGGCTCCTGCTTTTGGGAAAATGGAATAGAAGTACTCTCTCCTATTCTCCCTGCTAAGAGCAACAAAAAAACCTGGACGTCGTACGTAAAACTAACACAAGACGACCCAGAAATGCGGAGAGCGGCAGACAGACTGTTGAGGGACCTTGGCACCCAAGGAACACCATACTGGTGAGTCCCTCGGGGCTTCATTTTGCCTTGTAGATCCCAGACTTAAAGCTGAAATGCCAATGATGCAGATTTCCTTTAAAAACCCCAACAAAAGTCTGCTCTCTCTGGCCAACCAACTAGCAAAGGGGCTTAGCAAGACAGAAAACTTTTAAACGATAACCATTCTGCCCCTGCTACGTAGCACAGAAGACACTGTGACCCACCTCCATCCATGTGGGCAAAGCCTGAGGGGCGGTGACGGTGGCAGAGGAAGCCATGTGGGGATTCTCCCGTGTGGAGGCATCAGCAGATCGCAGGGGAGCTGGACCTCCCACTCTTGCCCAGCAGTAACAGGGGACCCTTCCCTGGTGTCAACGGGCTGGAGGACGAGTGGGGAGCCTGGACGTCCACTCCCACCTGGGAGTGAGGAGGCAGTGCCACCTCTCCCTGTCCAAGAAGCCAGCCTAAGAAGATATGAATGAAAAACAGCCTCATAATACCCCAAATGCCCAGGTTTCAGCTGGGAATCACTCTTCATAACAAGAATCAGGAAGATCTCAAGTTGACTTAAAAGGTAATCAGTTGATGCCACTACCAAGATGACAGAGATGTTAGTGTCATCTGACAGTTTAAGGCAGCCATTGTAATATAAAGTCTAAGCAAAGATACAGAAAGCCTCAGCAGAGAAATAGAAAATATTTAAGAAAGCAAACGGAACTTCTGAAACTGACAAAGGCAGGAACTGAAATAAACAACATGCGAGACGGGTGTGGAGAAGAGGACCCCAGCGAGACACTCAGCGCCTGCGAACGGGGACGCGAAGGTCCGAACAGAATGCCAGCAAATGCAATGCTGCAATATATGAAAAGAATGACACGGCGTGACCGAGTGGGGGTTATTTCAAAAATGTAAGACTGGTTCAACATTCAAACGCCCATCGCTATAATCCAACAAATTAGCAGCCTAACGGAGAACTACATGCTCATACTGACTGACACAGAAACACAACACCCATTCATGATAGCAACGCAGAAAAACAGGAACAGAGGGGACCTTCCTCGTCTTGATACTCTATGAAAGCCACAGCCAACATATACTTAGTGGTGAAAAGACTGAATGCTTCTCCTCCAAGATCAGGAGCTATCCAGCAAAGCCCCAGAATTCCTGGCCAGTGCGAGAAAGCAAGAAAAGGAAATAGCGGCCAACAGACTGGAAAGGGAGAGACAAAACCTGTCTCGTACCTTCACAGAAAAATGAACTCAAGATGGATCATGGACTGTCATGTAAAATGCAGAATTAAAACTGTAGGAAAACACAGGAGAGAATCTTTAGGATCAAGGGCCAGGCAAAGAGTTTTCAGACATGGCATGAAAGCACGGCCCATAAAGGGAGAAACTGAGGAGACGGACTGCATCAAAATTAGAACTTTTGCTCCACGAAAGACTCCAGTAAGAGTCTACAGACTGGGAGAAGATATTTGCAAACAAGACAGCCAACAAAGTACTAGAATCTAGAACACAGTAAAAACTCTCAAAACTCGGGAATTCCCTGGTGGTCCAGTGCTTAGGACTCCACGTTTTCACTGCCAGGGTGAGGGTTCAATCCCTGGTCAAGGAACTAAGATCCCACAAGCTGTGTGGTGACAACAAAACAAAACGCAAAGCAAAACAAAAAACAAACAAAACAAAAACCTCTCAAAACTCAACATTAAAAAAAAATCCAATTAGAAAATAGACTGAATCTGAAAGACAGGATTCAAGGAAGCAGATACACCGATGGCAAATAAGTATACGAAAAGATGCCCAACATCATTAGCCCTTATGGAAATGCAAATTAAAACCAAAATGGGGTTATCACTATACACCTGCAAGAACAAGCAAAATAAAAACAATAGTGATCACACCAAATGCTGTTGAGGACGCCAAGAACCTGGATCCCTCATACACTGCTGGCGAGAAAGCAAAATGGTACAGCCACTCTTTTACTTTCTTCGAAAACTGAACATCAACTCCCAAGGAGGCTGACAAGAGTAGGTAGTTTTTATGATTCAATGATCTGCAGTGCCTGCGCCTTAGTGAAAGATCCAATTGCAGCCCTAAGGACTGCTATTTAGAAACTCACTAGCCTGCCAACTTGAAAACCCCTACTGAACGCTTGGAAAGGCTGCCTGCTGCCTATGGCTAGGGCAATGAACTTGGCGAGTGAAGTGGAAGGCTGAAAATTACAGTGACAAAGCCAAAGCAATCTTGAGGGGAAAAAACAGAGCTGGAGGAATCAGACTCTCTGACTTCAGGCTATACTACAAAGCTACAGTAATCAAAACAATATGGTACTGGCACAAAAACAGAAATACAGACCAATGGAACAGGATAGAAAGCCCAAAGATAAACTCACGCACCTATGGTCAACTAATCAATGACAAAGGAGGCAAGGATATACAGTGGAGAAAAGACAGTCTCTTCAATAAGTGGTGCTGGGAAAACTGGACAGCTACATGTAAAAGAATGAAATTAGAACACTCCCTAACACCATACACAAAAATAAACTCAAAATAAATTAAAGACCTAAATGTAAAACCGGACACTATAAAACTCTTAGAGGAAAACATAGGAAGAACACTCTTTGACATAAATCACAGCAAGATCTTTTTTGACCCACCTCCTAGAGTAATGGAAATAAAAACAAAAATAAACAAATGGGACCTAATGAAACTTAAAAGCTTTTGCACAGCAAAGGAAACCATAAACAAGACGAAAAGACAACCCTCAGAATG